CCATCCATTTAAACTTCTCCCTGAACGCTCCTCTCCATGTGATCCTCAGGTTCACTCTGGAGTGCTGTTCTCCTGACGCTGTCACACTGTTCCTCGCACTCTGCCTCTCCTCTTCCATCTTACCTACTATACATCTTTACCACAGCCCCCTCCACACCATGACATGCGTACCTCTCCACATGCTCTTTTTTTCTGAAAAGCTCTAAATGCTGTAATTGGTTTTTGGCTTTTGATTTTGCATACTGGATTTTTTTCTCCACCAAAATTTAAAAACCCGGATCCTTTCCCCATCCCTTTCTTTCTTGCTTGCTGTTTAATAAATTGTTCTCTATTTACCTTTTATCCAGACCCCTTTGTGATCCAGGGAATAGCAGGCTGTGAGCTGCATCCTGGGGGTGCCATAGTAAGCTTCCTGAGGGGAGCTTTAGGAGGACTGGATTTCCTGAGCGTCCAGAATTACTCATGTGTGCCTTCCCCAGAAGGTGGCAGCCGGGCACAGCGGTTCTGCACCCTAGTCACTCAGTATCAAGGTATCTACGATACTGTAGAGATGCTCCTTTTGGAAACCTGCCCCCGCTATCTCCTGGGCGTCCTTGATGCAGGGAAGGCAGATCTGCAGAGGCAAGGTTAGTCCCGTTCTCTGTTTCACTTCCCACAACCTTCTCTAAACCCATGAGTAGAAAAGTACCCAAGAAGGAGAGGGGCTTAATGAATAGTTATTTCGTTTTGAAAGAAGTGAAAGAGGTTAACTACCGGGGCTTGTGTGTTCCTGATTCCCTATGCTCTGGATTAGAGTGATAATCCAGAATTCTCCCTGTCCCAGTAAAGCCCAAAGCTTGGCTGTCCAGTGGCCCCACTCCTGGGCCTGGCCGTCTGCTGCTGGTGTGCCATGTCATAGGATTCTACCCAAAGCCCGTGTGGGTGATGTGGATGCGGGGTGAGAAGGAGCAGGCGGGCACTCAGCGAGGTGACCTCCTGCCCAATGCTGATGGGACGTGGTATCTCCGAGTAACTCTGGATGTGGCTGCAGGAGAGGCAGCTGGCCTGTCATGCCGGGTGAAGCACAGCAGTCTAGGAGGCCAGGACATTGTCCTCTACTGGGGTGAGAAGGAACTGGGACCCAGGCTGCAAATGGGAGCAAGAGGTCCTCTGGCACAGAGGGAGAGGCCAGGGAAGGGTGGGGTATGATGACG